AATTTAGGTCGAAATGGTTAACTGTTAAATTACGACCAAACGGCTTAGAAGCATGCTGTTCTATAAGTCTAAAATTCCTGAATTTTACCCTCTTTGAGTTTGTGCTAGACGTAGGCTAATGAGAAGCTCCAGAATAGGATAGAACAGTTGTTAGTTACTATTTGGTCTTTGGAGAATGCTAGTCGGCAGCATATGCTCCATTGGGAGTTACAGTCGTAAGTAAGTAATTTAGTCTTTGAAAACTTTTTGGATGGTGTCTTTATGGTATAGAATTCAGATTAAAAATAATTTCTAAATTTCATCATGGTTGCCTACCTTACTGTTTATCATTTTGTTTGTTAATTTTACGACACTACTTTTTTAATATTCAGTAGCTTATGTTTTATCCAGCCATCTTTAGGTCTCGAATTGGACAAAACGTAAGTTTTTATAGCAATGAACTGTTATTCTGCTATATTTGTACTTTTATTTCATTGTTTCAGTTTGTTGTTTCCTAATTATATTAGTATTTTCACAGATTGAAATCATGAGTCAGTTGAAGCTAAACCACCAATGAAAATTTGGAAGCATTGGACGGCCGTTTCGTCCTAGTATGGGACTCCTCAGCAGTGCGCATCCATGATCCCACACCCCACGAGACTCGAACCTAGGACCTGTCAGTCTCGCGCCAGGTGCTTAACCAACTAGACCACTGAGCCGGCCGGCATCCAATGATGTTAATGTCTAACACTAACCAATCCACGAATTTGCACCACCGTACACCATTGTCTTCAGTGAGTTGATATCTCACAACAGACCTGGTTGAACTCCACTGGTAACGTCTTCTCACTAGAACTCCAGGAGTATCTCTTGAAGTCAGTTACTAGTGAGCAGATGATTATTATCAGAAGGGGTTTGTGGAGATTTCAGAAATTTCACAGATTGAAATCATGAGTCAATTGAAGCTAGATCACCATGGAAAACCTGGAAGCACCGGACGGTCGTTTCGTCCTAGCTTCAGCTGACTCATGATTTCAATCTGTGAAATTTCTCAAATCTCCACAAACCCCTTCTGATTATATTAGTATTGTTCACCTCATTTGGTATTCATGATTTGAGCTGTCACTTGATACATTTTTTACTATGAATGTATCAACTATGTTCAAGGTCGAGCGCTTAATTTATTTTCTGTTAATCTCTAGTGTTTCTATTTGATTGAACAATTTGTTGGTCTCTGATTTAAGCATAATTTTTACAGACCTTTCCGTATTCATTTAGTTAAAAGGTATGATTTCTGTATGATGTATCCGACTGTGTAACTGACTCTAGGAATTTCACATGAGACCCCCTTGTTGTATTAGAATTCTCAAGAAAATTTCATATTTATGGTATAACCGGTAGTAGTCATTAAATATAACTGACTTAAATAAACGTCTTTTTGTGTGTGTATGACGAAGGTATTTCCAACCGGTTGGGGAGACCTGAAAAATTCCTATAAAAAAGAATAAGTGAGCCTTGAAAATACAAAAAATTATTTTATCGAGTTTCGCAGAAACATCTAGAAAGTGAAGAGTCACCTGTCACATTTCTGATTAGATGATTACCTACCTTTAGAAGGGTTCAAGAATTCTTTAAGTTAGTTTAAACCACGGATTTAAATGAAATCGAAACCATTGAAAAGATAAGTAAACTCTGGATTTCTGTTAACTGGTTGAAAGCAGTCGACAAGAACCCCTATTCATATTTATTGATAAGGTGTACTTAAAATCTTGAGAAAACTGGTAATTTCTGTAGGACTTCAACTAGTATTATTTAGTTTCGTTGTCTGAGGCTTTACGAATGAATTTTTTGAGGTGTGACTGACCTCCTATAATAGTAAGATACACTGATTATTGAGTAGTGAACACTGTTTATCTGGTCCTTTTAATACAGATTGAATTTTACCCGTAATTTAAAATATAGACACTAATCTAATTGACTCGACACAGCCTGTGCTATTTTGAGAATTCAGATGATGGTAAACAATGGTCAGAAAACTCTAAACTTCTGTTGTTTTTTTCAGCACTGCACACCTATGACTCTGATAGGAATCAAACAACTAACGTTAGGTTTTATGATGAGAGTTAATGTTTAGCAACCAGTAAGTTGGAGTTATTCGATGTTATCGGTATATATTTGTGCACTAATGATAACGAAAAAGTCTTATGGTGTTCCTTATCTCCTTTCCAAAATGAAATTTAACTTATATCAATATCCATAATGAAAATCGTGGCTAAATTGTTGTAATCATGATCAAGATTATTGGATATTTGTATTTAGGTGGTTTTCATTTTTTCTAATTTAACTTAATTCTACTTAGTAATAGTAAGTAACATGAAATAAACAATAAAAAGGTTGAACGAGAAGCAACCAAGTTACAAGAAAGTAATTTGTATAAAGGAATTCTTTAAGCTGTAAACGTCAAAAATTTCTCCCATCATTTTTTTTAGATAAAGAACACTCCATCAGTAATGCTGTATACAGTTTATCCTACTCAAAATGATTTGTATTACATCTTTTGTATACTCCTCTTTAATAAGGCTCTACAATTATGACGAGATTTGAGCGTTTGACTGAATCAGCACATAGTATGCTGAGATTAAACACCTTTATAGTGTTTTCTTTAAACAAAGCGCTAGTTTTCGCAGTACAATTTAATCATTGATCAACAGCCTCATCATAACACTTGGAAATGTGTATTACCGAATACTACTTTAATGGACTAAATGTAAAATGCTTGCCGTAATAAATTAAAAGCTGTCGGTATGTTACGTCCTTGATCTGTCTACCCAATAATATACAAAAGAGAACTTGTCTCGATCTAGGTTAAGGCCTTGATACGATAGGTTAACTGGTTCAATCATAAGGCTAGAATTGCATGAGTCCAAATTGAGACTAACTGCCTTGGACAGAGGGATGTAGACTACTGGTTGACAAGAGAGGGAGAGAGAGAGAAGACGAGTCGCCTAGAACACGTGTAGATTTGTTTCTGACTCCTGATTCCGATTAATGTAAGAAGATATATCAATGAACAGATAACTAATACGACCACAAGGCACAAACGATTAGAAAAATACAATTGTGTCCAAACTAAGCATTGTGGTAGGGAAATGAGGAAGAAAAAATTACGTTTAAATTACAAAAACTTTAGAATAGAAAAAGGTGTAACAGTAAATTCTGTGTTAATTGAAAGATTACAATTTATTGAAATAACCAGGAACAAAACTAAATGTCGGTATTTTACAAGCTTTGAGTAAAGTGAAATAATGTTCCCAAGAATAGCTTTCGTTGTTTGTAATGGCTTCTTTATTTTTATGTTCACATCAGCGACCAATCCCGTTTTTGGGGTCCTGGGTACTGATATGACTTGTGACTATGAGATTCTCTTGGAAATACACATTGGTTTGTCTATAAATTATGTTCTCTCCGATCTCGGTTTAGTGGTCTAGAGGTTTAGCGTTTGTGCACATGACTGAAATTCCTGGAATAGGTCCCCTGTGGTGTGATTGTGGATGCACATTGCTGAAAAGTTTAATACTAGGATGAGACAACTGTTCAGTACCTTCAGCTTTTCGATGATTGTCTAAGTTAGATCAGTTCGTAACCTTAATAGTATTGGTAAGTTTTATTGAGTATTCAACAAGATACATGGTGTTCATTATCATGTTATGAATTTGGAGCAAAAATCCAAGCTGAGCATTCTACCGACTTCTTCCAGCCATCAAGCATTGCAACACAGTGAACACAATGCCAAGTTATCATGACTTATTAACGATCACATTATATATTGATAGATATAATTCGATCAATATTAAAGACTAAAAAAACTGTACATTGGTCACTTTTCGATGATCAATCAGATCAAGGCATAGTGTATTTCTCATTAGTTAAATCTATTTGAACTATGAATGAGCGGAAAAATGAGCTTAAATACATTATTTCATGACGTGTCTGGTTATATGAACTAGGATAGTGATCCTATTGAACTCTAATTATTCATATGAAGCCTAAAGACCAGTTCAGTATATTATTGTTAGTCAAGGTTTATAACTTATGTGGTGAACAAGAACATGAGTGGGGACAATTGAATGTGTTTGACCACAAACTTACAGAGCATCTCACTAAAATCTGAGAACCATATAGTAAATAGTAAATTTGCAAAATACCAATCCATTGTCTCAAACTTGACTGTTCCATTTGCAAATATAAGTCTATTGTCTCAGATTTCATTGTTCATGCATTTTAATGCCAACTGCGTTTCATTTCTGTTCTTTCCTTCTCGATCTACTGAAATACATTCTATGCCTGACCACCATTATATACTACTTATATGGATATGAGTAATCCACACCACACTTAGTCATAATCTGTATTATTTACTCTAGAAATAATTATATTACTTAACTGTTTCTAAATTAAAAATAGGCGTTACAGGGTCCAAAATCTGTGACTTAGTTGTTTTAATGGATAAGCTATCGGTTTCTAAGACAATATATTCAAGTCATCCAGTCAGGTATCACATTGGATTAAAATGATCAATATTCACCAAATATTAATCTTGACCCAACGCTACATAGTCTTTTATACTAATCAATAATATTATCCTATTGACTATATCTAATAGTAAGCACCTAATATAAACTATATATGCAAAGTGTACAGATTATTCAACAGTTTGACAAAATTATTTAATGCATGTATAACTTATTCATTTTATCAATGCATTAATCTACGAATCATCATGCCAAACCTTTTCACTTTACCCCCCCCCCTCTTTAGATCAAATATATGCATGTTAATAAGATGATTACTATTCATAGAAAGCCTATAGTTGTTGTTGTTGTTATTGTTGCCAAGACTTCATAAGATATTGTTCAAATCATTGTACCTAATTTGTATTGGTCTATTTCGTAGTAATGATGGATATTGTAAATAATAAATGGTTCGTTAATATATTGAATTTGTCAATTTTTTGTAGCAGTGGCGGATGCTTTTTATTCTTCTAAGTGATGTTGTGGAATAAATGGATTCTACGTTGTTTAATTATATTCAATACATTTTACTGGGTAATTAATCTCTTGTTGATCTGGTGACCCGATGTAAGTTAAACCACCATTGGAAATCTGAGAGCGCTGGGTAGCCATTTTATTCTAGTGTGGGGCTCCTCAGTGGAGTCTACCCACAATCCTACACGCAGGACTCGAACCCAAGATCTTCGGTCTGGCGCACAGTGAACCAACATCCAACGGTGTCAATGTCTAACTTCACTCAATCCACAAGATCATGCAATCATCTTCCACTATCTTCGGGGAGTAACTGCCTTACGCCCGATACGGATTAGCTCCACTGGTTATGGCTTCTTATAAGTATTGATTAAGATAAGAGGATTATTTGAAATGATTAGTTAATATTTAATTAAAATATCAAAACTATTAATAAATGATGGACCAGTTTTAATATACAATTACTATTTTAGATTACAGGATGTATTGCTTTAAGTGTTGGAATTTATGAAATCACTTATAGTGATTATCATTTTCTTCGAGGAAAATATGCTTTAGGATTATTTACTGGTGAGTTCTCTGTGAATATGTTTGTTTGTTTATGTGTGCTGGATGTTTTTATAGCGATTGTATTTTCTATTTTTATCACCACAATCTGAAAGTTTGAAGTATGATTTCAAAAAAGATCGTGCTTGGTTATCGCTGGTGTCATTAACTTTAAAGAAAAAGCTGTACGTCACGGAGTTTATACTAGTTTACTAATTGACGTCATTTAATAGATTGATAAATAGGCGTTAGATGATTGGAAGTAGTCGATGGGAAATTATTCCTGACCCAAACATCATGTTAATTAAGATTCATCCACAAAGAATACCTGGAATCTTACGGGAAATTATGCATCCTATGGGATTCGAACCCACATCACTCATCTAAACAGACACTATCGTCTAACAGTTTGAACCAAAACTGATATTCTACAAGACTGAGATATTTTTACTAATTAATTACCAAACAATCATATTGTGTTTATCAATTCCTCTAGTGCTGATTGAGTTCTCTAAATTGAGCTTCAGTGGGGTCACTAGTTTGAGTGACTGTTGAGGATGTTAGATCCCTAGAACTCACTTGGTAAATACCTTTTTTCATAATTTTATTTTGAAAATTTGAGTTTCTTTGTTTTCGAGCCAAAAGCGCTCTTTCACCTTCATGTCGTATTTCCCACTTGCGAGAATCTTAAACGCTATTGGCTTGTTGTATCTTTTGGTATGTTATTTTGTAATGCTTCCCAAGGACAATTTTATGCTGTTTATATACGTTTGATTTGTCCCTGTTGTTATTGCTCGTGCTTCTGGCTGCTTGCGGAATATATTTCCTCGTTCGAACTTGAACTTCTCACTCTAGTTAACGGGGCTGGGACGCATCAGAATAGCTAGCTTATTTGTCTTTGGTCCGTTCTCAGACTAGGTGAACTCGTAATCGCTTCAAATATAGTAGTGACCCAGCATTCCATGTAGTATTTTGAGACTAACTGAATTTGTTCAGCACTAAATGGACTAGTAAAAAACGACACTTGTAACTACACATTGATCAATCAATTGATAAGTCTGTATCTTCTGACAATGAAATTACTTGGATAATTACATTAACATTGAAACAATTTGTGATGACCACTAGTAAAATCTAATTTATATATTTCAATCTTACATAAAATCTTTCAGATTCAGTTAATTTAGCCGAAGGAAAATCTTTATGTTTCAAATGAAACTAATTCATCATATCTCATCAAACCTAAAACTATTTTTATTTTCCTTTCATACAAATCTATGATTATAAAATGTTACCTAATTTCTAAAATAGTTTAGTATTGATCACTGGTATTCCTTCTTTTAAACTAGGATTTTATATGATATGTTCATGTGGGATAATTATTTTAATATCTAGTCCATTTGGTTGGGCTGGGATCCTGTCAAGATCAAGAGGTATATCAATATCAGTAAGTTCAATCGTTGCATCCAATTCAATTATTTTGTTTTAATAATAATAGCAATATGAATATTTCAATGTAATCACTTAGAATATAAAGTATCTTTATTGTTTATTAATATTATTATTACTATTATTAGTGGCTTTACTCATTATTATATTTTTGGTACAATATAGAATTCTCAGCAAAAAGATATCTCAACAAGTTTCCTTTTCTTATTTCTTGATCGATCCTTGGAATAAATATTAAGTGGTCGCCAGTTAGATGTTAATAGTTCAGGACTCGACATCTGAATAATCTATATTCTTTTTTATGCATATAACCACGATGTCTCTGATTGGACTCTTTTTTTAACTTGTACTGCGAAATGTTGTAAACTTTTCACGAACGCATCTGAATAGGTTATGTGACTAAAAGGCATAATGATGTGTTCAAACAAACAAGAAAACAGATAACTTGTTGAAATAACCGGATGGCAGGAACGGGTAGTCTAGATATTCAAACAGGCCGCCTCGATCGATTTTATATTATGATAAACATAGTCTGTTCAACATGTATATGAACTGTGTTTATAAGAAAAAATTACGTCATAAATATTAGATTACATCAATCATGTATTTAACTTAATGTCATTTCCGTTATTTTAAACATACCTGAATGTTACGAATTTCTTCTGTACACATAACTTGGGATTATATGTACGAATTCCTATGGCTTCAGCTATATGTAGGAGGCGGGAACGAACTCCGTCGGGAAATGATGGAGGTATACGATAGATCACTCTAAATGGTTTCGATTTATCTACAGCATGACCGCTATAAATGAGATGTGCCAAGTTGGAATTGCGAATTGTTTTTATCTGGCCCTTTATGTACCAAGTTGGTAGATGTTCACTCATTCGTTGGTTAAGTTGCCAGGTAGTACGCCCGATATAACTATCTCCACAGGAGCAGCTGAATTTGTAAATGCACATTGAGGAGGCCAACTCAGGGGCCAGATAAAAACAATTCGCAATTCTATATTGGCACATCTCATTGATACCTGGATGTTATAACAGACTTGTTCAATTATTTCATCATTTAGTGTTTCATTATCTTCAGATTAATCCATTATTACTTTTATGAATATTTTTTATTCATTGAAGCTTTTAGTGGGATTTTTCAAGTCAGTGAAGTTTTTAGTACATTTAAGGTTTTGGTTCAGTGTTGATAACTTCTAGATGATGTTCGTGTATAATTTTCGTAAATTCAAATATGTCATTAGAATTGTGGGTACGGATGGCTTTCGCAAATTTACTTCCATGATAGTTATCTGGATAGTGAGTCAGTGCTTGAAAAGTTAATTAGTCAGTCAGCTACAACATAGGACCAGGCATATATATATATATATATATATATATATATATATATATATATATATATATATATATATATATATATATATGCATCGGTTCGATTTACCGCATCTGATTAGCACAACAAGATGAACACCAAATTCATAGTAGTAGTTACTTCAATGGTAGTGATATATAAAAGAAGGATTGGATTGCACGGAAAGCATCAGAGATCATAAGTACTTTCGCCTTTTTCTTCAGCTTATAATGAAAATGTGAAATTGTGATCATGAATGCACCTGGATAAACATTTTGTATTTTAATCAAATAGAATAAGTAGTATATGTAGATAGAAATCGGATGTGTCGTTAAAGCACTTATTTTTATCAATTTGTAGCTACACAGAATCACTGCAGACTATTGTTAGTTTAGGGATACATTTTCTCAGATCATGAAGCTTGAAAATGAACACAGAAATATGAGATTATTTTTGAAAGTCTTCAATTTATTTACTTAATACGTGTAAGAACGCATGACTGGCCTCAATCACTGATTGTGCCAGTCTATCACTACGGGATTTGAATCGACAACTGCATCTCTGTGCTAATGTGGTGTGGTAAATAGAACTGATGTACGCACGTACGAAGTTCTACGTTGTTACTGACTGTAAGAACGCAACATGACCTCTCAGAAAGAGTGGTGTTCTAAACTGTAAAAATACCGGACTAATGAAGTTTAACTAGTATGAGAACTATGTGTAAAGTTTCCCCAGTAATCTAAATTCAAACAAAATTACGTAGTGACCGATACAATTTTACCAATGTGCCTATCGCAATTTGATAAATAGAATTCCATAAGAACTGAAGATTAGGCAAGCACGACACTGATTAGTACACAAAGTCCGATCAATTATAAATATCTCAGTCTTGCAGAGGGTTAGAGATGATGTCTCAGACTGTGAAGCTAGGTAATACGGACTGTCTCGAATTATCAGTACGCTTTGCTAACACGAAAACTAGATTCAACAGGGATTCCTGTCGATGACCTCCAACCACTTGAATTCAGCTACAAGATTTACACAAAATGATCAAATAATGTAAGTTAAATTATAAAATGTAAATCTTGATTACCAATGTTAAATAAGGTCTATTAACGACGCTAAATTGAACTAAACCTGAGATATCTATAAATAATAACATATATGACACAACTATATCAAATTTCAGCGGTTTATATATTTTCATTTATGAACGAATTACTGTCACTTTTCCGCCTTGATTGATTCTAGAAGTTATGACCTATTAGTAAAGCGTAAAGAAAGTTGCTTATAAAAGTGATAATTATATTTTAATTTACCATATTTACCAATACCGACTATCTTCCTCTCCCTCTCTCTCCCTTTCATAAAAATCAATGACTGATACACTAAATTATTGGGCATTTTTCCTGTTATTGATATCCAGAACTGTAATTTTTACCAGTCTCTGTTGAGGTATAATCTTTTAACAAATATATTTCTGTTTTTTTCATTATAAGTTTTGTATTATTCTGGTACTTAATGGAATTTGTCTACTTAGTTGTGGAATATGGTCATCAAAATATTCTGAAAATGTAAGTTTACTTTGATATCATTTAAATTTAATAATATAGTTACATGGTTACAGTTTATGTCTGATTGATTAAATAATCAGAAAGGGTTTGTGGAGATTTTAGAAATTTCACAGATTGAAATCATGAGTCATTTGAAGCTAGATCACCATGGAAAACCTGGAAGCACCGGACTGTCGTTTCGTCCTAGTGTGGGACTCCTCAGCAGTGCGCAGTCTCCACAAAACCTCTTCTGATAATAATCATCTGCTCACTAGTAACTGACTTCAAGAGATACTCCTGGAGTTCTAGTGAGAAGACGTTACCAGTGGAGTTCAACCAGGTCTGTTGTGAGATATCAACTCACTGAAGACAATGGTGTACGGTGGTGCAAATTCGTGGATTGGTTGAAGTTAGACATTAACATCATTGGATGCCGGCCGGCTCAGTGGTCTAGTTGGTTAAGCACCTGGAGCGAGATTGACAGGTTTTGAGTTCGAGTCTCGTGGAGTGTGGGATCGTGGACGCGCACTGCCGAGGAGTCCCGTACTAGGACGAAACGGCCGTCCAATGCTTCCAGATTTTCCATGGTGGTCTAGCTTCAATTGACTCATGATTTATATCTGACTCCAGTTTGATCGTTTTTAATTGCTATTGAGATATACATATCCCCAGTCCTCGTAAATAATTATCGACTTAACTCGCATTGGTGAATAACGGTGTTCAATAAGTCAAATACGAGAATGGATTTTTGAATATGTATATTTCGTACAATTGTTGATCGAGACAAACGACCAAAGAAAGCTAATGGAAGAGAGGGAAGCGAAATGACGCTCAGTGGAGGTGTGTGAGCCAACTCGATTTAATCAAGCGTTAATCACTATTGATAGTCACACAAAAATAAGCTACTGACATGTGATGAATAGAATAAGAAATGTACACATACGCTCATATAAAAACAGTTAAGGTTGATAAGTGAATAATTAACAAGCTTAAAACGTGACTAAAGAAGAATGAATAAATTGGACTGTCCAGAAGCTAGAATAAGTTTTATTGGCTTAACATAGTAACTGACACTACATTGTACGAATGATAATTCAGAATATTGTTTTTGTAACAAAATTGCACAAACAAACGTTAGATTATACAGTTCTCAAGATAAGTCAGATAAGTGTATGTTATAAAGATTAACTTAAAAGTAACTTGGACAAATTTAAATCCATTGTTGACTAAATGGTAAAATAATTATGGTGAGACTACAATTTATGGACGACGTTTGAACGAATCTTAAGTGACTTTGAGAAATATTAGCCAATCAGGAAACAGTTAGTATAGAGTAGAAATATATTATTCATTTCTTTTACATGATTCAAAAACTTTCCAATGTTAGAAAGAGGTTCAGAGGTTCTAATATCGTAATACATGTGATACAGGAACTCATCTATATAACTCGTTAATAGTAGGCTTCTAGATCCATGATAAGGTCGCAAAAACTATCTCTGCTTCGACCACATAGCTTCAGTATTGTTTGTGTTCACTCCGGTTGTGTAAACTTGTCATTTTTTGTTGCTGGTGCTCTTGCTATACAGTTCGTAACAATTACTATAATTTACTTTAGTCTCAATTTGGATCATGCGGAAAAAGTTCCTTTTCTAGCAGACTTCTTCCTCCAACATATGCTACATCGAAAGACAACATCATCACGGTTGTCTGCACGACGTCCATAAGTCACTTGATTACCACAATCACAAATAAAGTAACTTCTTAATAGTTCCATTTGTTATAGCCGCTCAATTATCATGTTTTCTCTAAAAATCTTCTGTGAACCGATTGTACGCGAGCATCAGGTACTGAAATTGGCGTCGTGACCTTGAAATCCCTCAAGCGCTTCTGATTAGTTCGTTCATAAATTATAGTCTTGCCATAATTATAAAAAATCCCTAAAACTATTTTTGAAGATTTTTACATAATATTTAATAAATTTACTGAAGTTTTCTATGGGTTTTCCTAACTGCAACAAATCAATAAAACAATGATATATAAATTCATTCAGATGGATACAAATCATCCGTCTTCTTGAACCCTAGTAAGAATTTACAAAGAGTTTAAAGAATTATTATTTTATTCCTAGTTACAGTTTACAGTTGAGGTTAAGTGTTTAGGGTTCGAGTTTATGAATAGAATTGATTCACATATTATATCTAATCTTAATATCAAGAATAGGAGATTTGATGAGTTTATCATTATCCATTTAATATTTCTTTATAATTCGAAGTACTCTTAACACTATACAAATTGATTTCAACTTCTCATTTCATATTATACAATATAGAAGTAATAAGGGTGTAATACAGAGACAAATATAAAAAGAACCGAAACGAATTTTCAACCAGTTCTTAGTAAATCAAAGAACAATTACTTTGTTAAATGGATAGTTTGTAGATAAGGAAATAATAATACTACAATGCATAGACAGATTTCATATATTTAATAGATCAGCTAAAATCTTCTACGAGTTAATCTGTCTGTAAAACGAAAAATAACAACATAAAAACTCGTCCCCATGGATATCGATTATTTATTTTCGCCAGAATATAAAAGGCTTGAAATAGATTTCTAGGATTTTTTGATTGAGATCATGAATCGATCAATGTTAGACCATCATTGGAAACATGGAAGCACTAGATGGTCGCTTCGTTCTAGTATGGGACTCAGCAGCGTGCATCCACGAACCCACATACGGGGTCCAGACCCCAGAACTTTGTTCTCGCGCATGAACGCTTAACCTCTAGACCACTGAGCCGGCAGCTAACGGTGTTAGGTATTTAAGGCAAGAATTAGGGATTCATGTTTAGGATTTCCATCATGAACTAACATTAGCAATAAGGGGAAACTGCTATGTAGACAAATGTATAGATACATTTAGCACAACAAATTAAGAAGCGATATCTGATAAGTTCATTCATAAAATATAGTGCCATCAGGTTGAGGTTTATTCAGCATTAAGATTTTAGGTTAGAATTTAACGATAGTGCAGATTCCCTTTGTCATATTGTGGTGTTTGAATGAACTAATGATTCTTTTGTACTTGTTGAATGCTTGATTTCGAATTCTAAATACAGTACATTCGTTCGTGCTTATCTAGTACTTCTTGATCCAATTGCGTTATTTCTGGGATTCTTAGTTCGTACTATAATTCAAATACTCCTAATCATCATATTGGTGTCGCGATGGAGCCTGTGATGGAATTGTTGGATATACATTCAGATTTAGATGCTTTTGAGGATTATTTTGAAAGGTTCGAAATCTCGGCTATGACCAAGGAAGATGATGAGGATGTTAATATTGTAGCACATTTCCTCACATTCATCGGAAAAGAAGCATACAACTTACTAAAAACTCTGGCTATGCCGGAAAAGCCCATTTCGCTTCCTTATACTGCTCTCAAGGAATTACTGCTAGACTATGTTAATTATACAAATTTCGATTGCGGTAAAGGGAGATTTCTTAAAATGATTCACAAGGATATAAGAAATTCCACTAGATTACGTCATCCCAACCCAGTGCATACTCAAGGATATGCAGATAATTCATTGAGGAGTTGCAATGCATTTCACGAAGATGGGCACAAGTTTGGTCAGTGTTTGTCCTGTGGCAAGTTCCACTCTTTTAATTCATGTAAATTTCGTAATTCTATGTGCTTTAAAATTGGTGATATTGGACATATTTAGTTAGTCTATAATACTAATGTTCATCTTATTGCAACTAATATTAAGTCTTGTAATTCTGATTCGGCGAGACTCTAATTTATGGACGAACCAATCAGAAGCGTTTTAGAGACTTCAAGGTTACGACGCCAACTTCAGGGCTTAATGCTAACGTGCGATGGGTTCGCAAGAAATTTTGTTCAAAAGGTGTTAATTTAGCGACTATAACAAATAAAACGGCAAGACTATAATTTGTAGACGAGCCAATCAGGTATAAGATAACAGATCTCGGATTTTGGAGCGAAAGTCTTTTATCCATTTGGTTAAATAGGGTTTTGACATTATAGCTGATGTCAGTTCGTGATGAAAACCCCATATATAATTCCTAACTGAGGCAAATTACGACAATTATTGCGAACTGGATAATAAGAGCACCAGTAACACTGGCTGCAGCCAGGTACTACAATATATACGATGCTTGGAGAGCGTACAGACTCCTACATAGGCTTGGTTAAGTGCATCATGTCGTTATCCACAAGTAGCATTTTATGTACTCAGCAACCGAAGTGCACATAAACAATATAGAAACTATGTGGTCGAGGCTGAAAGAGTTTTTGACACTTTATCATGGCTCCGGAGGCCAGCTATTCTGTAGCCGTATGTATGATTTTCTAAACTGCATGGATTACTAATTTAGAACCTCTTTCTAACCTTTTGGAAGCACGTATAAGAAGTGTATCCACTTTATTTCCTTGGTTTTGTATAATATATTTTTACTCTATACTTACTGTACGCTGATTGGCTCATATTCTCAAGGTCACTTAAGATTCGCTCAAAGGTCGTCCATAAATTGGAGTTGCGCCCCTGATTCTATTAAGTCCAGTGTTCCTAATGATCAATTATCCTTATCATCGATTTCAAAAGACAGTGTAGAGTCATATAGCAGTTCGGAGTTAAATGAAACTCAGAATTCTTGTGAGATGACAGTTTCTAATCTACCAACTTCTTATCAGATCTCTCATGTTATGTACCAGATATAGTTTGTCTTAATGATTCACATATTCCTAATGAAAGTTCTAACAAATCTGAGGACAATATGTTGAGTGAATCTAATCTTGATCGGAAACCTGATGCAGTGTTGATAGATGCTGATCTTTCTAATGATCCTTTACTCTGCAATGACATTCATAATAAATTTGAGGAAAGTATTTCAGAAAAATCAAATCTTGATGTCGTATCAAGTATTATTTGTCCTCATAATGCATTTGTTTCTTGTGGAAAACTTATGCACTGCGAAGCGCAGGTAGCAAGTGAGCTCAATTTTGATTACAATTCGGATGATTTCATATCAACTGTTGTTTATCCTTACCACAAAGTCAATTCTAATGTTTACTCTAAACAACGTGAGAAATATATTTTAAATGAAGCCACATCATTCATAACTTAGGGATATAAAGATCCAACATTATTTCGTGGGAGAGGATAGTCTGAAAGTCTATAGTTCAAATTCTAGGTAGCAATAGTTTCAGTACTCAATCACAGGAAGCAGACAATACAGAGTCTTTATCCAATACACTGTTGAACAGACACAGAATGAACTTAAGAAGAAGACATACAATCAATTACAGACACCTAGACTCCAATTTAAGCTGTGGCGGATGTGGTGTTCGAATGAACTAATGATTCTTTTGTACTTGTTGAATGCTTGATTTCGAATTCTAAATACAGTACATTCGTTCGTGCTTATCTAGTACTTCTTGATCCAATTGCGTTATTTCTGGGATTCTTAGTTCATACTATAATTCAAATACTCCTAATTATCACACATATGCTCATTATACATAACATTTGAATTCTGAGCAAAATCTCAAGAGTCATTTTCTCAATTCTGAATAGCTAGTATGTATACCATCCTTTTTTACTGACTGATCATTATATACACTACAAATTTATGCATATTAATCCAACAACACATATGTGTATCCTGTGCGGACTGCCTCGATATTACCTGAAGTCACAAGCATTATGATCAAAGGTGAATAGTGGCTAGAAGTGGAATCCAGGACGCGCGTTTAGTCCCATTTGGGACTCACCAGCTGGGACTCGAACCCAGTACCGTTCGCTTCAAACGCCATCGCGTTATCCACTTAGCTACTGGGCCCTGATGGCCACCTGCTTGTGCAATGGGGTGAAGTTATATTCACTTCGTGTTGTTTATTTATATCTTCCCATTGTTATTTAGGATTGCAATTGATCAGTCTCTTGTTGGTATATATGCATCCTTTGCGGACTGCCTCGATATTGCTTAAAGTCACGAAACGCATATCCTAGATTCCACCGCTAGCCATTATCTATCTTTACTTAAATAAGTAACCAATTTATAAAATATCATTCAACTAACAAGAATAAAGTTGAACTTGTTTATAAAACAATTTTTAGATTATCAGAATGGGTTTTGTGGAGATTTTTAGAAATTTCACAAGTTGAAATCATGAGCCAATTGAAGCTAGACCACCATGGAAAACCTGGAAGCATTGGACGGCCGTTTCGTCCTAGTATGGGACTCCTCAGCAGTGCGCATCCACGAACCCGCCCCCGCGGGGTTCGAACCCAGGACCTACTGGCTTCGCGCGCGAGCACTGAACCATTAGACCACTGAGCCGGCATCCAACGGTATTAATGTCTAACTTCAACCAATCCACGAAGTTGCACCACCGTACACCATTGTCTTCAGTGAGTTCCTATCTCACAACAGACCTGGTTGAACTCCACTGGTAACGACTTCTCACTAGAACTCCAGGAGTGTCTCCTGAAGTCAGTCACTAGTGAGCAGGTGATTATTATTATCAGAATGGGTTTTGTGGAGATTTTTAGAAATTTCACAAGTTGAAATCATGGGTTCGAATCCCGCGGGGGGCGAGTTCGTGGATGCGCACTGCTGAGGAGTCCCATACTAGGACGAAACGGCCGTCCAGTGATTCCAGGTTTTCCATGGTGGTCTAGCTTCAATTGGCTCATGATTTCAACTTGTGAAATTTTTAGATTACTTTAATACTGTAACATTGATCTTTATCAACATCATTTAATTTAACATTCTTTTAGATACACATTGAGCTAAATGAAATGTTTGATAATTTACTGAAAAATTATGATGAGAAACGTTTAATGGTGAATGATGAAACTAAATTTCTCAATTACATTCAATATAAAGTGAGTAATATGAACATAAATTTTCTTTTTTAAAATATCAAACAACTGGAAAGTCATCAAGTACTGTAGAATATTGATACATGGAAACCATTATTCTCATTTCTCTCCTAGTTCCAGCTATTTTAAATGACAAGGATTACAAAAAAAATACAGGTTTATTTTGATAAAGAATGAATTAGACAGAATGGAAGTATGAATATAGGTACGGTGACTTTGAAAGCAGGACAGGAAATCAGTTTAGTAAAAAGAGTAACTACCCAATAAAAAAAGAAATCATTTAGTCGTTGTAAATATGAGGATTGGTTCCTTTGACTAAGTAAAAAATGAAAACAAAAAAATGTATATACTTAAAGTAACAAAATAAACTGGTAAATAAGTGATTTTCTGGAGACTGAATAGATGATTCATCCTTAATGATCTACAATCTTCACTCCTTAGGGAATGAAATACACAACCCTCAAATCTAGAACTAAATACACAACACTCTTAGTATACCAAGTTAGAATCTGTTATTTTAAAATACCAACGTCAGTTACATTGCAAGCAGTACCATCTTCATTCGCTGTTTTCTGTAAGTACTCATCTAACTGATAACTTTGTTGAATTCACAGATCATAACTTTCTACTAAGACTTCAGGAACTATATTTCAAAGACAATCATTACTAAGCTCATAAGTATCATCCAGTGCAGTGACTTCAAGGTGTTTATTTTTTAAATATAAGCACAATTTTCATTACATTGTATGTTAACACTGCTGGAAATTTCAAACCCAAGATGAAACAGTTGTTCAATCCTTCCAGAGTTTTTTTGTTCTCTTTGTGTTGTTTGTTCTTAGTAAAGGGTGTTTTTAGTATTTATCAGAAGAAAAGTTTTTTTTGTAAGACCTGTCATCTACCTAAAGGAGCGCTTGTCTAAGTTACTCACTAGTTTGAAAAAATCCTCTTCATAATCAGACATTTCAAATGATAAACAAAATAGATATATACAACCAAAAACTATGAATTTTATTTTATTTGAACACATATATATTGGTACAGGAGTGCGCCAAACATATATGCGCCACACAATTTCAGTTCATTAATTGCGTGTGGGCTGCGTTACTGCCCGGGTGCCCAGACCGAAGCAGGTGGTTATCTTAGGGGGCCGCACCCCGAGCCTTTGAACTAAAGGTCTAACCCACAAGGCATTGGAGCATCGTAAGGAGATGCAGTCCCATGGTAGCCGGCGACCGAAAATTGGTTCATAAGCCATTTGTTCCCGCAGGATACTGGTGCCCATGTGCACCATTGGTTTGGAATCCGGTTAAGGCGCCGGACACTCGCTTTTCGTCCTCTCATTTTCGTAAACAACACCCCCGCCACGAGAAGGCAGTGAGTAGGACTTCCCTGGCAGAGGCTGTATACGCGCGGCCGTGTGAGAGTATTTCGAGAGGGATGGCGAACCCACCCCGCTCTCGGCCATACCAGGGCGTTTGGGGGCTACCCCAAACGCCCAAAAACTATGAAACATTAATACAGTGCATTCAATATTTGATTGTCTATGGAAACAAACAGGAAGTTTCAAAAACAAAAGTATTAGAGTGGTAAAAGTCCAAGTTATATTTATGTCGTTAGTGCTATATCATTAACGGTGATTTAAAAAAAACACTAACTGGTTAATAAGTTATGACAAAAGCCACTGATGCCTAGTCTTTAGTTCTGATCAAACTGTATCATTCAACTTGTCAAGTAACCACTAATAAAGGGTAACACCTTTGACTGAAACGTTGATTTATGTGGCTTTGATCCGCATGAAAACGACCAGTTCTACCGAGATGATGAACGTCGAAAAATACAAAACCTAGTTTCAAGACATCTTATCTTACTGTCAAAATAGAAATATAAAGTAAACAAATTAATTTACCAATAATATCTACACATATTTTATATTTTGTATTATCTTTCTAATAAATTGTGAATGTCTTATTATGCAGCATTGTATTTCCCTTTACATCAATTGAAAAACTTAAACCGCTTCGTAACTTAGTGATTAGTGTATTCACGAAATTCTTCAGTTGAACACTTAATGTTCATCATTGAGATGCTTATGCAACTCAATACATATTTAACTCAATAATCTTTTGCATGGTAAATTAAGTTCTCAATTGTAAAATTCAAAAAAAAACTTATTACACAATCTAACATTTGATGGTGACCAGAAGAGAAGTCTATCTGGCTTGAAATATTAAAACCAAGGGAAGTACACCATATGAATCCTCACAAAAATAATGCTATCTATCAAATTTAGTTAGTGGCTAGAAGCAGAATCCAAGACGCGCATTTCATTGTGTTCGTGACTCGTTAACCAAATGTACTTGTCATATCCCAGTGTTAATGTTTACTCCAAGGCTCAAATCAATTGTCTTTAGTTTCAAAAACCAGCTTGTTATCCACTGACCGGCTGCGTCCAGATAGCCATTGGCTTAATGTAATGGGTATGAATTGCTATTTCTTTTCTCTAGGGATTCAATATTTTAAAATCACCATTTTGATAGTAACAATAATTATCCTTTTGTAGTTTGATTGCTGTGGTAAATTAAATGTTGAAGATTTGTTAGATCGTAAACCAATTATTGCATGTGGAATGAAACCAATTGAAAAGAAGGTATGTTCAATTTTTTAGGATTATTATTGTCATTAACAGTGTAATTAATAATTCATTCAATTAGGGATGTTTAACGAAAGTTATTGGCACGACAAAATCCGGTCAATTTCGTATTGCATTTGTTAGCATCTGTATAGCAATGTGGCAGGTCAGTAAATAACTAACTATTAAGTAGTGTAATTATTATTATTAGATTTTTTATTAAATATCAATCAGCAAATATGTATATCACGGGTTGACCTTAGTTAAACAACCGCTGGAAACCAGAAAGAGCTGGACAAATGTACAGTCCAAGTATAGGACTCCTTAGTAATGATTAACCATGATCCTATCGGAGACAGAATCTAGAATCCTTGATCTCGAGGTGAAAATCTTATCTTTAGACCATTGATCTGGCATCCAATGGCTTAAACATTTAATTTCAACCAATCATCTTCGAATCACACTAGTGATTAACTGTACTCGGCATGACAGAGCTCCATTAACTAAACGTATAAAGTATTAAATACCTGCTTATTGGACGAAAGGTTAAGTATTGGCAGTGAAACCAGAAGTCCTGGATTTGAACACTGGCGGGGCCATGTGTGTGCACTGCTGGGTGGTACCATATTAGGAGGGAAAGGCATTTCAGTGCTTCCTGGTTCACAGTAGTTGGTTAATCAGGATCAGTTCGTTATGTCAACTTCAAAATTTACTAATTTTCACGATCCCGGAGAATAATAAAGTTATTGTTTTCTTCCTTGTGAAGTCATAACAATTGTGCCTAGCCCACTCAAATTTTTGCTATGGCTGTTTTGTAACCATGCAGGTTTTTCGAGGAATTCTCATATTCTAAACTTATTTTAAAAGTTGATTATGCACGTAAGGTAAAAACAAATGTATACGTGAGGTTTTGTAGTTAATCGATAACCTAATGTGATATTAAATGCTATAAGATATTTTCAAAGTTGAATTCACTAGTCGATCTAAGTTAGATCACTGTTGAAAACCTGGAAGCACTGGATGACCGTTTCATCCTTCATGTGAAACCATGAAGCGCACTACTGAGGAGTCTCATACTAGGACAGAACGGCTGTTCAATATTTACAATAGTGATCTAGCTTAGATCAACTCGTGAAATGAACTTTGGAAATACCACAATCTCCACAAATCCCTATACTGACTATAAGATATCATAATGGTTTGGATATTTTTCTTCTTGCTTATGCTTTGGAGAGTCGACATCAGATTACACTAGAATATATACATATTACATCATGTGAAAAAAGTTGGAAATGTATTGCATTCAAATTTGATTAACAGTTGAAACATATTTTAATATATTTCCAGGATTATCATATTTTATATTAACACATAGATATTGGTACAAGGAGGCACCAAATACATATGCGCCACACAGATCTCAATTGATATGTGCGAGGGCTGTGATACTGCACGGGTGCCTAAACCGAAGCAGGTGGTTGTCTTAAATGGTCACTACCTAACTCTTTGAACTAGAGGTCTAATCCATAAGGCAGTGGAGCATCGTGAGGAGATGCAGTCTCATGGTAGCCGATCAATAATTGGTTCACACGACATTTGTTCCCTCAGGGTATTAGAGCCCATGTACACCATTGGTTTGGAATCAGGGTTTTCCCACTCACCTAGATGGACTCTTTGTGTCCACTAACCCGGTTAAAGAGCCGGACACTCGCTTTTCGTCCTCTCAATTTCTTAAACAACACCCTGGCCACGAGAAGGCAGTGAGTAGGACTTCCCTATCAGAGGTTATATACGCGTGGCCATGTGAGAGCATTTCGAGGAGAGCGGACTCTCCCCACTTTCGGCCGTACCACGACATTTGGGGGATGAAATATATTCTAAGATGGGATTATATCAATATTGTAACTTTTAGCATGGGATCATTGTTTTGATTTTCTGAATTATTATTTTCATTAACCTTTGTACCTTACCTAAATCGTATATCTGTCCTCTTTTAGTTTTTCGGTATCATTATTTACTCCTTCTTTACTTGTTCAAACTGGAATAATCAAAATCACCATCATCATTTTGATTATTAGTATTCAAAAAAAGAATACAAGGAACTTTGAATAATGATAATGATGGAAAGAATTTTTAGACAGAAGTATATGTTACTATAAAATATACTGGTATCTATGCCTTAAAAAGAAATAAACAAATGAATTGAAAATATTCAGTGAGGATAATTATTTTGATTATATTAGTAATCGCAGAGAGAGAGAGAGGGGAAAAAAGAAAGATCCCTTGGTTACAACTGTATTATGTCTTTTTCTTTCCCAATTTACTTGTTTAAATTAATCAATTAGGTTACAAAACTTCTATGGTAAAATAAAAAGAAATCATGGAGAATGTTAAATGATAGTTGAGACAGATTTTTGTATTTATCATTGATAAATCTTAGTTGGTGTACTGCTAAAGATCAGTGAGCATTATATAGTTGTTTGAGTATATTTTAACACTTCTGATTAGTGTATATACATGAATTTTTCAGCAAAACGAATAGTTTTAAGGTAGCATTCTTCAACTTTACACAATTTCCGAAGTGTGTCATCCAATACACTTTCTGCTATCTGTTTCATTCCTGATATTGTTATACTCCAAACATTTAGTATCCTTCAAACCAATAGTGACATTATTAGGATAGAGGGTTTGAGAAAAGTGTTTTTCGGCTCAACCCATTCAAGGACTAAATAAATGTAGGAATTGACGAAATGCGTTTTGGCATTCAGTAATAAAACATGGTGTGTATTGAATGAATATTCTGTCAGTAATGTTGTATGTTTCTGATTATGACATTAGGTGGTGGGTTTACAAGTTCCATCAAAAAACTACTTCTTTCAAGTGTGTAAATACATCTTAATAATAACTAATAACCAACACGGCGTCTAAGTAAGAAGTTTCCATACAATTGTCCCCAGCCTCCTCACTGCAGATCGTAATACTGAATCATTTAGACTAGTTTTAATGGAAATAAAACGCTGAAAATCCCTGCACAGCATTGTCGTTCATTTGTTTCTTCTTGTCTTGTATTCAACTTTTATTTAGGTCACTTGGTAACCACACTTTATGTTCGATGCCTGGATATGCCTAACCATAACATACGTCAAAGCATGATGTTTGGTGGTATATGCTGAAAGAACGTTGGAAGCAGCTAAAAGCTATAAAGTCGTGTAGACAGGTGCAGGCCACCTGATTAGGATGTGGGGTTATCGTGACCAGTGATTAGTGACATCATTACTAATACTACAGTAAAGCGGACTCAATAACTTAGTGATCTTATCACGTAGGTATATGGAAGTTGAATGCCGGCTCAGTGGTCCAGTAGGTTAAGTGTTCGCGCGCGAGACTGAAGGCCCTGGGCTCGAATCCAGCGAGCGGGATCGTGGATGCGCACTGCTGAGGAGTCCCACAATAGGACGAAACGGTCGTCCAGTGCTTCCAGGATTTCCATAGTGGTCTAGCCTCAATTAACTCATGATCTCAACCATTGAAATCATTACAATATCCACAAAACCCTTCTGATATTATATATATATATATATATATATATATATATATATATATATATATATATATATATATATGTCAATTCGTGGAGTTTCCATCTCAATGAAATCAGTAGCTAACGGAGTAAATAAACCTATATTATACTAAAATTGCCAAATAACTTTCCACTAGTTGGGGAATGTTTACAGTCGTAATCTCTTCGACTGCATTGACAACACACATTACTATGATTCGAAAAGAAAATATTGTAGTTTTAATTATTCTCATTGGCAAAATAAAAGACAAATAAAACAGGTATATTAATATTATTATCATTGTCCCTTCTTTTGTATATCAATCGTATACATAAAACAACAAATTATTCAAAAGATCGACAAATTAAAAAAATACAGACATATTTAAGGCAAAGTAAAAAGTGTGCACACCCAGAGGAAACCTGCCTCCAACTAAAATAGTAGGTAGGTGTGCCAAAGAAATAATGACCAGTCGAAAATGTATAATAATAATACTTAGTATTATTACATATCCATGGGTAGAAGACTTGATAATCCGCCTTGGCCACCACTGAAGCCACTGGTAATGATTTTTAGCTAGATTATGAACATTTGGAAGGAGAAAAAGAAACGCTGGATGAAGGAAAACTCATTTATCAAGTAATTATGTAGTGCAACAGGAACAACACTAAAAACGATACCACTACCATTACTACTACTAATAATAATAATAATGGTCGTTAAAACTAGTCAGGATGATAGGACATCATAAAAACTGACTTTTAAGAAGTATCCGAAATAAGTATATTTTACAGAAAATATGTAGTTTATATTATGGATTGGAGTTTGGTTATACAATTATCAAAAATAAAGAAGGACTGGACATCTGATGTTTACTATCTAGTATCAAGTAATTAATCATGAAAAATCTAGTCTAAAAAAGAAGGGGAAAACTTTAAATGTAAACACCTAAATTATGACTTTCTTTCACATTCTCACAACAGCTGGAAGAATGAAACTAGTGACTGTAGTGAGATTTGACGGAGAGACAGAGTGATAGAAAAAAGGCAGAAAATTAAAATTTAAACCCTTTGGTTCTCAATTCAGTTGTTTAAAGGCTAAGAGATCATTGAGAGGCTTGAATTTCATTGGTCCGATCCCTGATACGATCGTGGGTGTGAAATATTGAGGTGTCTCATTTTAGTAAGAAACAACCGTCTAGTCCATCGTGTTTCTCGATGGTTATCTAAGGTTACTTCATGAGGAAAATAAGAAAGTTAACAATCGCCACAAATCATTCGTACTAACAAAATAATATCATCAATAGATAATTCAGTTAGTCAATCATAACCCGTGTAGGACCAACCACGGAAAAATGTATCGGTTCAAGTTGCCAAAACTACATCAGTACACTAAGTTGGGAAAGTAAAAAGATGAACGATAGACAAAAAGTTGGAGTAACTGTAATATTTAAAATTAGATTTAAAAAAAGACTAAACAGAGAATATAAATAGAAAAGTAGGAGCGAAGTACCATTAAAATCCAAGACCTATAGGACGATAGCAGATAAATGGATCTACACCACCAGGATAGATACTGAGCCACATCACTACTACAAAACATCTGCAATCTCTGATCATGATTATTATGCTGACACATACTAGATGGTTTATAGATCTGCTAACATGGTACAAAAAAAGATTATATGGTTTTCGGTGCTCTTTTTTGTGGTCTAATCTGACACAACGCAGTACTGATCACAGAGATAAGTCACTCGTTAAGGTTACGTTGCATTTGTCTAAACCATTTCAATCGGTGAGAACTTACAGCCGTATCAGTCGAGTCGTCATTTTTACTTAGCTACCACCTAATATTTACAACATCAATATTGCTACTTTGATTTTTCCACCATACACGAGACTGATAATTTGAAGATATCAGTGATCAAAGATACTAGTAATTCAATAGTTATTAGTTGAGCCTCATTAATAAGTCAGTCAGTCATACGCAACATAGAGACTGGTACAAACATGTGTTAGTTCAAATACCCATGTCACATCAGCACAACAAAATGAAGTTAACATAACGAATAATAAACGAATCGAAATAATGGTAGTATCAGTGATACCGGAACAGAGTAAGCATTAAGTATATATTTCAAGAAGACGAAATGAAAAGTTATGTATGATGAAATGCTGGAACTGAAGGTTTAAAATAAGAATGGATGCATCTGTATCACTGTGAGACATACCGAATTAAGTCACTCTAAGTCTCTAATCACTGGTTGCGGTAATTATACAGACCTCACCCCAACCAGGTAATTTGTATATACCAACATTAGCAATTCCATTTATCATGATGCGTTGCTCAACAATCTATTCATAATTTTTTAATTGTGAATATCATTTATACATTTTTAAAAAACACAGTCTTACTTACTTTGAACATTGAAGAGGGCTTATTATTTACCATTGAGTGGGATGGTGTAATAACTTCAAATAGTTCACGACATAATCCAATAGGTAAACTACCACTACCCAATGGTACAAGAAAAATATAATCAGATTTGTACAAAGAACATTTTTCATTTTCCCCGACGCTTCCGCTACCACCAGGAATGCGAATGAATCGACTATATGATAAAAGTGATATACATAAAGTAATAGACACGTAGTGGTGTAAAACAATATTCCGAATTGAATAAAAAAATAACATTTTACTAAATATAACATGAAAAGTATTGCATCACTACTGATTAGTGTCGTGTGGATCTTGGAGGAGGGCATCTTCGTTTTTCTTCACCAAAACAATAAACTAACGTTGAACCGAAGCAACATATCAGCCTCTCGATTAAAAACAATTATGAACTAACATCATTTGACGATAGTATTCTCTATTCCCTGACTGCTATCATAATAATTGATCAATTTTTGCTACCAACATTAAAATTTTCAGTAAACCGATAAAAACTGGAACATCTAACAATACTGTGATATATTGTTTTGAAACAACAATTGGTTTGTACATTATTGTTGAGGGCTTTATTCGTAATTATAATAAAATGCCTTCAAGTGGGATTATGGAGTTTCCCTGTCTTCAAATGCTGGTCAATTTGTGGCTACTGACGTTCGTTTCGAACAGCTTTAGCAATTTCAACATCATACACCATATTAAGTATAGTTACTTATTCTAAGTACACATTTAAACTGATCCGATACAATTCACTGATGCTTTTACAACAACGAACAATGAATACCATCGCTCTGAATGACACCATTTGTTTCAGTGAGCTGAAGGTGTATCAAATGGCAGCTTCTACTCTATGATACTTTTAAACATAACAAAAAATGTCTAATCAACTGTTATCATTCCAGCTTCTAATATAGGGTTTGTGACTTCTCCACAAAAATTTGATCTATTTATTAGTGTTTTAAAAGTTAAGCACCCGTGGGCGAGATAAAAGGTCCTGGGTTTGGTCTCCAGTGGGGTAGTGGATGAACACTGCTGAAGAGTCCCATACGTACGAAGTAACTTGTCCA